TTTCACAGTCAGCTCTCCCAAAGTGATCTTACTTCCTTTATTTCCAAGTTCTTGGGGCAACACAATCACTGCCACATACCGCCTACAAATACCACCTCATATATGTCACTGTTCTCATCAATTACTGTCACAGTGGCAGGCTGCACCCTGATCATCTAAGTTTAACTATCGATATCTGCCAAGGCTTGTGAATTTAGCCCTCTGTAAAATAAGCTATACTAACCCTTAAAATTACTTAATGTCTTAGAGATAGACTCTTTCTTTCAGAGCCATGTGAGGAATGAAAGCAACAGGTTTTGTTTGGGTTTTAATTTGCTTTTTTCCAATATTTTGCATGTAAATATCTCTTTGCCTCAGCAGGAGATATGCATCACCTATACTGAACTATATGCAAGATTAAAGAGTTGTAGGGTTATGGATTTGGGGTGAAAAAAATCAGATCACATGATCTCCAGCAGTCTCTCCTTGCTTTCAGAACAAGAAAATTTGCGCTAGTGGATTAGGGTTGACGTTCCCTTGGAAGGCCCTAGAGGATCAATTTCACCAGTCTATAGGGCTACTTTGGTACCTGTTATATTCTTTCTTCCCAAAACCCTACCCCCAAATACCCTAGAATAGTTCTGTTCAACAGAAATATAATGCACTGTGGAAATCTGTGAGCCACATCAGTAATTTAACATTTTTGTAACCACATTTATAAAAAGGAAAAGGAAATAGGTAAAATATTAATTTTAACAATATGTTTTATTGAGCTCAGTATATTTGAAATGCTGTGGTTTCAACATTTAATCAATATGAACAAATATTAGTGAGATATTCTACATTCTCTTTTAAACTCGATATTCAAAATCTGGTATATAGTTCATACTCAGATCTCATGGTAATTTGAACTAACCATACTTCAAGTGTTGAAGAGCCACACATGGGGCAGTGATTAGTGTGCTGAATTAGAATATAGTTCACTCCTGAAGTAGGAGTCCTTCTCTCATTTACTTTACCAGATTGGACTGTATAATCATTTTTCTTTGGACCCCCACTCTTTCCTGTGTGCATAATTTTCACAGTCAGATCACTCTAAATCTTAACTCAAGCAACACATCAAGTAAATTGCTTTAACAATCAAGTAAATTGTTTTAATGCTGGACATGGTGGTGCATGCCTGTAATCTGTGAGACACAGAAGACTGAAGCAGCAGGATCACAAGTTGAAGACCAGCCTCAGCAACTTAGTGAGACTCAGGGAATTTACCAAGATGCTGTCTTAAATTAGAAAATGAAAGGGCTGGGGATTAACTCAGTAGTACAGTTCCCTGGGCTCAATCCCCAGTACCTCCCCCAAAAATATGACAAGTAAATTGTTTCTATTGAGTGAGACTGGATTGCATTGAGGAGGACTACTCACAGAGAAACTATTTCCTTCAATCACCTGAATTGAAGGTCAACATCACTAAACACACTGCCTCTTCTAATCT